GTACTATTTAAGTAGCACTGCATGCACTACTGTACTTTAGTTTTGTCCTCTTGTTGCCTACATACACTTTATAGGGACATCTCTAGTAATAGATTCAGTTGTCTATTCAAGTCTCAGTCTGAAGCTTTGCTTCAATCAGTATACGCTCTCAAACCACTGTTAGTTACAGTGGCTCAGTTTACCAGTCTAGTCTAAGTGTAGGACATTAGCATGTATAAGTCCTAGTACCAGTTAACCAGTTGAACTCCTGATCCTCAGTCATCAGGTCCCTTAACAGTGTTACTGTGCATAGTTTTTGCTCTCCACCTTACCTTGAGAGGCGCATGCACAACACCTGTTCATGTATGCTTTAATGTTGATAGGCCTGTGTAGCATGTGGGCACATCTCAAGCACATGTCAACACTCAAAGTGTTCAAAGTGTTCAATTTTGGGAAAGTCTGCAATACCTCAAAAACACATTTTGACCAAACTCCATTCTTTGACATCTTTGAAGAGTCACAATGTCACGCGATGACCCATGATGACTGCACCCTGGAACCCAAACCTAACCCTAATCCTAGACTATACTCACTATCTGATAGTTTCTGAGTAAAAGGCTTGAGGGCAGTTTACTGTAGAGGATGATTCTGAGTTAAAGTAGGTGAATGACTATCACTAGTCTGGCCCTATCTGGTACAGACCTACTGGCTTATATACATACTGGGTAAGCCCCCCTAATACTGTAAGACAAGACCCCTTGGTACTTGTGCTCACTACCTGATTGGCTATCTACTAACACCTGCTGACTATCTTACTAACTAGTGGTGATGATGAATCCCCGAGCTGGAGTCTGACTAAAATATCAGGTGACTTGTGGGTCTTGACCACTAAGCGATACTGAGTAGAACTACTTAGTGAGCTGTCACCTGATTGACAGCCATGTCTGAGAACCTTCTAGCTGGTTCTATACTATTCCGTAGATACTCCTGCATACATCTAATCTATATCTAATCTGTATCTGATAAGATAAGATAGACGTGTGCTTATTCTAGAATATATTCAAAAAACTGTAACACACAACTTCACTCTAATCCAATCAGGAGCTGTTGAAGGTGTCAAGGTATGTGCCCTTGACCCTAACCCTAACCCTAACCCCAGAACTCACTTGTAGTGGTAAGGTAGTTACAAGAAGGTAAGTGGTTGCTTGTTCTTGGGAGTGGCTAACTCAGAGAGAGAGTAGGATGAAGTAGTGGGTCTTAGTTGTATAACCAAGATGCCCATCTATGCTGCATTGTTCTGGTATTTATACATGAGGGACCAGACCCCTAATACTACTGGTAGTACACCTAACACCTTAGGATGACTGATGCTCGCAACGCTATTGGCTATCTAAAAATACCTGGCGTGGGAGCCATCACCATGTGTTTGGTCAGCGGTCTGATTTGTGATGATCACCTGTTAAGGGACCTAATGACTGAGGATCAGGAGTTCAACTGGTTAACTGTTTACTAGGACTTATACACGCTATAGTCCTACGCCGATACTAGAGTGCAAACTGAGCCGCTATATCTGATAGTGGTTTGTGAGGGATATACTGGCTGAAGCTAAGCTTCAGACTGAGACTAGACTTGAATAGACAACTGGGTCTATTACTGAGAACTGTCTCTATGAAGGTACGTAGGGAACAAGAGGACAAAACTAAAGTACAGTAGCGTAAGCAGTGCTACTTAAATAGGCAAGGCGAATAGGGTTTAATAAGTATGAAAACACTGAGTTGGATCAGTCAGACAGAACAGTTTTCACTGGGTTGTATCAGTGATGAGGATGAGACATGATGGAGATGAAACATGATGTAGGTAATACATGATATAGGTAAAACGTAATAGATATGAAACACTGATGTAGATGAAACATATCAAGCGATGGGATCAGTTGTATAGTACAGGGTCAATGACGAATAGTTAGGAAAAGAAAGAAACCCCCCCCTGAAGCTGTAACAGGGAGAGCAGGATGAAGGACTTGCAGCAACCAGTACAGGCTGAAATGAACAGTGCGAGTGTGCCTGGTGGTGTTGGCAGCCTCTTCCAACTGCACCATGTGAGCACTGAGTAATTTAATACATATGAGTGCGATTGTCATTTCACTTTTTTGTCAAGATGGTATATTTGGAGACACAAAGGTTTACAGTCATTT